ACTGATTTTCCTTTGTTTTGTGTGTGTATTTGTTTTTGTGTTGTTTTCTTTTGCGGATATACATTTTTTTAAATCAAAAATCTAGTTTAGCTTACCACTGCCGGATTGTTAAAGGGGGACCTTAGCTTTATAACGCAAATGTAAGGTTCCCGAAACGAATTTAAACTTAGCAGTTGATTTTTACGGAGGGAGCAAAGCAAAGAACATGAAGACTAAAACCCTCGAAGCACAGGAGAAAACCAACTAGAAGCTGTACTCACACGAGATTGGCGGGCCCAGAACGTATTATCAATCAATTATTTTATTATTAATTTTATCTATTTATGTTCATAATTTGTGCAGGCAGAGATAAACAGTAATTCGAAAATAGTTGAATAAAATGGCTATAAAATTTCTTGCTTTATTCGCAGTAATAGCAAGATCTAGACAAATGTAGACATGTTAATTGGTGAGCTTCATATTTTCAAATAAACAAGTTCACTAATTTTTTAAGGGTCTTCTTTTCACACTTGTATGAGCTAATAAATTAAATTTTTGTTACGAAAGTGATATAAAATCATTAAGTTTACAAATTGTTCTATAATAACTTTTCTTAATATTTAATGAACTTGCCTTTCTTTTTTTAACTTCTGCGGCTTATTTGATATTAAAACCTTATTAAATAATTAATTATCGGTGAAACCGCGAGACAAAATACGACAAAGACCCGTCTGTATGAATAGGGATAAAAACGTTAATTCGAATCCTTGCCATGACAAATTCAAGCCAAATTGAGATGTGCTTTTCAGTGGCGGATCCAGGACTTTAAGAGGGGGGTTCATTTGTGCAAATCTCGGCACAACAATAACGTTCTCTTGCATCATCATTTTTCCCATGAGGCACATCACTGGCCTAGGGATGCTCCTGATAAGGATAACCTATCCACCAGTCCCATTTCATATTAAATCTCATGAGTTAGTACCATACTTTTATTTATTTATTTTAAAAAAATATAAAAAATCCATGGTACCAGCCGGTGGGGGTTCATTTGCACCCAATGAAACCATCCCCCCCCACCCCTTAATCCGCCACAGCTTTTTTCTTTTTCTTTTCTGCTTTTTTGATGTGCGGGTGGTGGGAGTGTCTTGAATGTTAACCGGCTTCAAACTCGCTTCCACTCTCTGCTCGCCCGAATCAGTACGAACATACTATAGAGTCTAGGGCCCAGTAGGCTCACAGAGTCGTCCTATTGCGTTTGTCCATTGTTATGTTATCATTGCCATTCCGTTTACAGTAGTTTGTAAACCTTTAGGCTACTATTAGACTAGAATAACCAGCGGAAGCCATTTATAATTTGCGTTCACTCAGTCGATCCCGCTTCTGATATCGTGAGATAATACTGATCAAAGAGACACGTGGTTAAGAAACTGTTCAGACAAAGAAGACCGACCGCCTCTGTCAGTAAACATTAAGACCACTGCGTTCAGGACGTGAAAAATTCGACTTCTGAACTAAATATGTATTAGATTCGAAAAGAAAACGAATTTTCGAAACGCTGATGCTTCTCTAGTTAAATTATAAAATTGCGATAACTGATTAAATCTTAATGATCCGGATTTGTTCTGAAGAAAATGGAAGTCCAAATAGCGAAAAATACTACCATTTGAATAGCTTGAATAGTATAATTGCATGGCCAACCCATGTTCCAACCCAACCATTCTCTGGGTATAAGAGAGGAATAAATCATGAAAATTTAATTTGCTGTTCATTTTTTCTAGACAGATTCCATAAGTATAAGTTATAGCTCGTTTTTGAGCACTCTAATTGTTTTGTGCTCAAATCAATTTATCTCGATACTATGACTTGGAGCTCATAACTGCATATCTATAGCTTGAAGTTATAATTCCTATAAGCCGAGAGTGTCATCAGTTTATCGGCTTTGGCGTTAGATTTCCTACTTTATCTATAGAGTATTTCCGATATTTTCTTCATATGTTTTAAGGAAGAAGATTGAAATGCGTCATTTACCTCAATCAATTTGCCATATAGAATTCCTTCGTCAGCAAAGATAAACACTCATTAGAATCGAATGAAAAACCTAGGAATTGCGTTGAGCTTTGCACTAAGTTAACTTTTGTCCATCCTTTCCCATCAATACACCATATAAACGTGAAAACTACTTAAAAAGCACCAAACTGAGAAAGACAAGACCACTCGGTTATAAAAATATAGGCTATCTTCTCCGAGAAGATATATAAAAAATTTCGGATATTTGAAAAGCTGAATCGCATGAGGACGTAAAATACGAGACTTTTTTTCTCTAAATATTTCTTTATCGTATGATTTTTAGTGTGATTATGATCCGCGAATGTATGTAGCTTTATACTTGTGAGAAGGAATGTTTTTGCCTATCGGTCTTGATCTTTAGAGAGGAATTTATTCTCACGCCGATATGGGAACTCTCCACTCCACTCAGTTAAAGAGGCTAGGACTTTAGTTATTCTCACACCGATATGGGAACCGTCTCCACTCCACTCAGTTAAAGAGGCTAGGACTTCATTGTTTGTCCGTCATCATCATACGAATGAATTTTACTATTACTGTTAACTTTATCATAGCATTACTGTAATGATGCATCTATAGATAAATAGGTGAGAATACTGGCTGCAATTGCTAGCCAAAGTTCAAAAAAATGACCATTTTAAGAAAGCTAAGAATTCCAATATTGCACGATATTTTAGTCTTCTAATTTTATAATGATTACTTCGTTACAGCCTTTGATCCTCGGCTGCCATAAGTAATTTCCATATTTAAGAACACTATTCTTTTGTTTTCTTGTGACTGAAGACGACTCCTTTGAAACCCAGAATATTCTTAGACTATAAATTTCACATTTTACTTGACCGAATCAAGAGAAACACTTCAGTTCTTGGAAACATGGACCTCGTTATTCTAACAAAGTCACACATATTTTCCGCTAAAATATGAACTGTTTTTTAAGTAAGTGACGCCCCTTGTTATTAAAAGCTTCAAATAGTCTGAAACCATCAGTTTTATAATCTACTCGACCGACGATAAGTGCATAATAGCACACCTAATATCAAACATCCAAGGCTCTACAAATTATGTCGAAAATTGTTTACACATATATCACTATCTTCCGAGATTACCCTCAGCAAATATATCTTAGTTTACTTTTGATTAAAGAGCTGGAATCTAGTCATTATATTTGATTCTAGGTTTCTAGAATATTACTAATCGAATCCCTCTTTGGCAAATACTCTGGTGTTCTTATCAGTGGAGTCCTTGAAAATCACCCGCCAAATCATGGGAAATTGAAGTGCATCTAGGAATATTAAAGCCTGCAGTTTAGTCACAGCGTGGGTGACTAGTCTTCTTCCTCTAAGGAAGGAAGATTCTAGTGAACTCTAGACTAAAAAAAGTCCCAGAGTTCTTTATAGAGAACCCTATACAGTTTGGACCAAAACTATGAATAGCTATATATATATTTCTTTTTGTGCGCGCATCCAAATTCTACACGAAAAAATGGAGGTTGGATTTACAATAAAAAAATGCAAATCTTTTTATGATTTTGCTATAACTTTTCAACGTCCAAAACATAAACAATTACAGTCTTTTGATTTTGATTATTCATTTGAACATCTTCAACTCATCTTGTTCCCGACGATTTGTTCTGAAGTCACATCGTTAATTTTTTTTGAGTTGAATGGGCGCGCAACCATGAAACCGTTTTGCAAAGCAATTTTGTCAGTTGATCAGTCTTAGTTCGAGTATGATAAGATTTACTAGCCTTCTTGATGCAAAATTTTTAAATTTGTTGATTCAAAAAAATAAAAGAACAAGAAAAAGAGAAAAAAGGGTTTCATAGTTGCTTCTAAATATAGGGTTGCTATTCAAGAGCTTGGTTTTTTATTTCAGTTATAACGTTCTCTAAAACCTGGATTTTTTTCCCATCTAAAGTTGCCCGCATTCAGTTGCCCAGCTTGCTTCGGGTTATACTTACTAGATGAGCGATACTGGCTAGGCATCAAGCACTAGACACGACACCGGGAACTGGACTTCCTCAATACGTCGCGTCAAAAACTGTCGGCTTTTTAGCGCTTCTAAGTAAAAAAAAGTAAAATGCCACCACTGTCTTAAAGATAACTGCGATTTTCTAGTACCAAATATTACTAGATAAATGACTCGAAGCTATGCCAAAAAAAAGCTTTGATAGATAAAGAGGCGCGTAAAGACGTTGAAATGAGTTGATGACATCTATCTGATCGTGAGGGAGGAAAGCCACGAGGCTCTTTTGATCAATATCACTCGTATATTTTGTCAATATTTTGCAAAAACTAGAACTGTTTATTAGAAAACATTCTCACAATTTTC